TGGAGGGTAATGGAAACATTATTGGCGGGAGCGTTTTATCGACGTTTTGTTCACAGTTCTTCCTCGTTCACTTGGTGAATTGTGTGATTCACTTCGCAAATAAAGCCGATATTTTTCAATAAACATGTCGGCACCAGGTGGCAGTGGTATTTTTTCGTTGAAATATTTATTTCGTCGCCGCGTTTTTGCAACAGTTTAAATTTATGTGTTCTTTATTACTGGTCAGTTGTGGAGTTTCCCTTTCTGATTTATTGGTCGTTAATTATAGTGAACGTTTTTAATTCTGCGTATTCATACGCAAGTTTAATTTTTCAGAATTTTTTACAAATAATTTTTCATCTTTACGAATGTTGAAGTTTAAGGGCTGATTTTGTATAATGGAAACATTAGCTGACGATAATTATGTAAATTGTTATAAAATCGTAACAATCGGAAAATCTGAATATGGTAGTTTCAATATATTATTTTGAAATAGCTACAACATTAGAACACTCATTTAACTAATAGAGTAAAATACAAATCTTGAGGCTTTGTGTATAATAATAAGCGGTTTTGTGTAAATACTTTAAAATCTCAGATTAGTTACTATGGTGTAATCTTCTTAAAGTATACGATAGCTACTGTAAAATACTGCACACCTTCCATTAGTATGGCCTGTAAAATGTTGAATAAATTATCGTCACGTTAGTGTTCATCCAAAAAATTAAACAAACTTAAATTTATCTTAACTCTTTGTTTTAAAAGATTTCGGATTTTGTTTGAATGTCTTAAGATGTAAGATTACTTGCCTGTAATTATCTAATAGCATATGAATGCTACTGTAAAATACTGTTTCCCTTTCCTAATGAGGGCTTGTATAATTTTGAAGGGATCATCTTCACGTTAAATTTCATCCAAAAACCGAACAAATAAGTTACTATCAGTTGAAAACAATTTTTTGGTTCTGTGGACTGGAGGTTAATGTGGTATTATTTTACTCATTTTTAAAATTACAATCCTCTCCCAGCGTGCTCGCGTGCGTGTGTGTGTTCGTCTGCAAGAAGGTGCCAGTGTCGCGATCTGGCGGCGGAGGACGACTCTGTTGAATTATTCAACGATCACGTGACCTAAGCTTTATGCACAGCATTCACATGTCCATTAAACAGCTGTAGCTCACGTACGTGACGTCGTCAGAGATGCACACCTCCTAGACCCGTCTATTTACACCTTCGTGTGTGATGTTCGTGCTTTTGAAATTCTATGTATCCATTAAGTTGTAAATAGGTTTTAGCTTGTGTTTGGTTTGGATCAATACCAGTGCATTTTGTTTTCAATATTGGTAAATATTTTAAGTCTCAGAGTCGATTATCAAGCTAATTGTCATTTCATAACAAATTCGTACAGTGATAAAATAAGGATTGTTTTTCTAAATAACAATAGGTAACATACTAAAGAAAAGTTACAACTCAGGTGTCAAAAGTAAGCAAGTGTGCATGTGGCTTGAACCCGAGATTTCTGTCCTAATGGCTCGACTTTTAAAAGCGTTAAACATCGTTATATTTTGGCTTGATGCTACTATACGGCAATTTTGGGGGAACGAGCTGGTGTAGTGGTTAGAGCTCCGGACTTCGGTTCCAGAGGTACCGGGTTCAAATCCCGCCAGATCACCAATGAATTTTATCCATGTGATAATGCCGCAACCCCTAGGTCTAGCCTGAAGTAATGTGAAAAACAATTCCGGGCTCGTGCCTAGCGGCCTAGGACAAAAAACAAAAAAACCTATATGGTAATTTGGAGCTCACTTCAAGAAAGGTCTGCCTATCAAGAAAAACAAAAATAAAATATTCCAACCGTAGAGAACTGACACTATGATGGAAAGTATAGCCTACTTAAATCTATTATACCTTAATCCACAGATTTTTAGCAATGCCATTTTAATTTGGTGCTACAACTGTAAATTTTTACCTCATTTAATTTATTGGATTTTAATACACTAAATACCACCACATCAAAAGCTTTAAAATATGCTCTTATTCAATCCAACACGACAGCAGCCTATTTATGGACGTTGGGCGTGACATATATTATGAATTTGGAAATGTATAATGGAGTGAATGATTTGTGCAGCTTTTTAACTCCTAAGATCAGCTGTTTCTTTGGGCCATTTATTTCAGCCCAATGATCAAAGACAACTAACTAGGCCGAGTTTCCAAATCAATAAAAAGCTACTGTCTTTTTAGGATCGAATTGGCCATCTTCTGATTGATGTAGTAGTATAACTACCATTCAGAAAACACATTAAAACACAATGCGTTTACTAAAAAAATGCATTAGACCTAGGCATTATATAGTATATTTCAACACTAGAGCGTAAAGTGACTCTTTTTTACCCTAGATCAAGTTTCACGAACGAGGCGTAGCCGAAATCGGAAAATGAGCAAGGGTTGAAAAGATACCTTCCCCTTTTTGATGAACTATATTTTTTGACAAATTGCACATTACTTGAGATAACTAAGTAAGAAAACGAACTAAAGCCATTTTCGTATAAATATAACCTCTACAAACAAATTCCAACTTGTTTTCAATTTATGTAATACAAACAAGCAGCTATTTACTAAGTAATTCAATCATTTTGTCTATTGCGATTGTGTTAGTGAATACAATACCTTCGGTATATTGAAATATTGGCAAGAATTCAAAAAAAATATTCAACCAAGGTAATAGATCGACAAATAATTCCGATAAATGCGATTGCTTACAATCGAAGTTTTCAACAGCTGAGTTTTACACTCCAGGGACTAAAAACGCTTTTACACTCTATGGAGCCTAAAAGAGCTACTTTAGACTCACAACGCATATTAAAAACGGCTGTTTTGCTGCAGTATGAAGAAAAAATATTTGATGGTCTTAAATCGTATTCCTCCAGAAAATAAAACACCCTCCGGTCATCTCATCCCTTACGCAAGGGTGGAAAACATAAGTGACAAGCACTCCCCGCACTGACAGCATGTGAACATTGTAAACAAAGGAAATTAAAAGGTACACGAAAAGACCGGAGGCGTGAAAAAAGCACCCCGATCCAAGATAACAGCTTTATTTCAATATGAAAAGAAGAATTATTTGCCCATTTTGAGCCGCTGTCACAAGTTTCCTGCCGCCGGAACAACTGTTTTAGCTTTCAGGTTTGCTGACCAATTACGGGTGAGTGCTTCGGCGAGCAACGCGTGTCATTGGCTGAGAGGTCCCATTGTTGACACTAATGTAAGCAGTAGAATATACATGTTCAATGATAGGAACAAACAAGTGTCGGTTGTTTTGGAGAGATTAACAGTTTGAGGAGTGGTGTTTGGAACTTATTTTGGTAAATTATTATTTTGGTGTACTTAGGAGAGGTGAATTTTTATCTTTGAATGGGGGAAATGAAGAATAGAAGCTTGATCGTAAAAAGCGGCAAAGATTTGTTCAAAAACAGTTACTGTATGGTTTTCGTAAAAATGTAAACGTATTTATATTAAAAATTTACGTAGAAATAAATGGAAAACTATAATTACCTCCAAAGTCTAAAGGTACCGGTAGTTTGTTACGACATATTACAAATTTAATGTAAAGTGTTTTTGAGCTCTGGAGACATCAAAATGAAAAAGTAAATCGGCCTCGGGTATAGGTCTTGCCGTGCCACATACGGCAGTAGCTACTTTCCCTGCATGGGAAATTCACTAATATATTAGACTTAGTTTCCGATGGGCCTGATTATTACCAATGTCACTCACTGAAATCAATTGCCATTGTAACATATTTAAACATATTTTGTGTCTTGTAATAGTTTACAGTATGTGTAAATTATCGAATAATGTTGGAGGAAGTATTTATTACATCCCTGTAATCATCTACTTATATCCAAATGGTAGCACCCTAATATGTCGCAACCCAACGTTTCGCAACGCAAAAAAATTCGCATGTCTAAAGCAATGCGGTATCTCCTCATCTGAGGTGACGGGGGCTTCGCCCCTTTGGCGTCGGTGTCCAACACCTGCGCGGAAGTCGGGGACATTGCCCCTCACATTTCTAATTAACAGGCTTACAACTCACAATGGAATATTAATGGAGATTGTTTAATTGTGGTCCTCAGATTGCGGAAGACAGAAGACGTTGCAATAACGGTTTGTTGGAAGGACGTGTCCGCACGTACAATGCGTTTATAGCAGTAGTATTGTTTATAGCCTGCGGATACTGAATTGTAAAGTTTCAAATTATATAGTTGAATGTGCTGTTGCTTGTTGCTAAAGTGGTTAGCGTGTCGGACTTTGGTGCTAATGCGCTCAAGTATCAGAAACGTAAACTAATTTTTGCCTGCCCTATTTTCTCACCTCGGAACCTGGGGGGTAAACTTGCCTAAAAATGTTCAAATGGACTGTATGTTGAAAGAGCAATATTAAAAACTTGTCACTAATTATTTAACAGATATAATGAGATTGATGAGGTACCTTCCTTTTAACTGAAGTGTTGAGAAGACGAAGCCGGTAGACGTACACGAGTTTCTTCTGCTGGCCAGCTATTGCGTATTGCTCGTACACAGACCCGGACCGGCAGTAGTAGTGTTTCACTTCACAAATGTTCAATAGTTCACTTTTAATATGTGTCACTAATAATAATTAAATACACTTTGGGGTTAAGAGATGAGAGCAGCAATTGGGAGTTAATTGTGCCGGGGACATGTTAGTAGTTGCATGAATGCAAGAGAACTGGGGCGAGATTGGGGTTTCCAGACATCACGTGACAGGACAAAGGTTATTGTATGATATGAAACGTCTGGAAATATCTAGGTAGCGCTTGAATACGGAACATGCCGCCCGCCTTGAACCGTACATGGTTCAAAACATTGAGAAAGTTACAAAGTGACACATAATGAATATGGATTGACATTGAAATATAAGAAACATAGATTAAATATATATACATAACATTGAAATAGAAATATGTTTGAAAATAGAATAAACATTTTGTTTGGTCTGATAATGAGATCAGGGGAGCGGGTACACCTTGGTAGCAGGACGACAGAAGGTTCCCCGCTGAGTCTTGATGGTGACAACTCGGACGATGCCGTCCGATCCAGGCGAAGTCTTCACTATGCGTCCAAGAGGCCAGAGTAGTGGTGGTGTTCTAGGGTCCTGAATTATAACGAGATCACCCACTTCTAGATTCTTGTTGGGCTTTTCCCATTTCTTTCTTTGTTGTAGCTGATGTAAATATTCTTGATGCCAACGTCGCCAGAAGCGTTGATGTAGGGCTTGTACAGTTTGCCAATGGTTGAGACGATTTTCGGGAACTTCTTCAAGATTTGGTTCCGGTACTGCCACAAGAGAAGTGCCGATAAGAAAATGACTCGGAGTAAGGGCTGAGATGTCGGATGGATCTGCGGATAACGCTGTCAAAGGTCTCGAGTTTAGTACAGCCTCCACCTGTGTGGCGAGTGTTATTATTTCCATTAGTGTTAGAACTCTATCGCCTATGACTCTTTTCAGATGATATTTAGAACTTTTTATAGCACTCTCCCATAGGCCTCCTTGGTGGGGAGCGGCTGGTGGTTGAAAGTGGAAATTTATTGAGTGATCTAACGCGAAGTTGTTAAGAGCATCTTTAGTGTTTGATTCCTTGATGAAATTCTGAAAAGTTTTCATGAGTTGCTTTGAGGCTCCAACATAGTTAGTTCCGCAATCTGAGTATAAGTGGGCACACAATCCACGACGAGAAACAAAACGTTTTAGTGCAGCTATGAAGGAGTCTACAGATAGGTCTGTTACAATTTCTAGGTGCACAGCTTTCGTAGCAAAACATACAAAGAGGCAGAGGTATGATTTTAACCGTTGAGTGTTCCTAGTTGAATGAACTTTAATGTCAAAATGTCCACTATAGTCCATGCCAGTGTGATAGAATGGCCTTACAGGTTTTAATCGAGTTTCAGGAAGATCTCCCATCAGTGGAGGTTTGTTTACAGGCTTAAGTCTGAAACATCTTTGACACTTGAAAATCACAGATCTTATCACGCTGCGGGCTGATAATATCCAAACCTCTTGAGACAGAATAGACTGCAGCAATTGAGGGCCTGCGTGTAGATGCTTTAGGTGATAATGCATAATCAACAGTTTGACAGCACAGTGAGATTTAGGTAACAAAACTGGATGTTTCGCATCTTGTGTAAGGTTGGAATGTTTCAACCTGCCGCCTACTCGCACTATTCCACTGTCATCAATATATGGGGATAAACGAGCAAGTTTTAAGCTGCATTGAGATCCCTTTTTGAGAGCAGAGATGTCATCCTTAAATGATGTATTTTGTATGAGTTTAAAAATTCTTAATTTCGCAGACGAAGTTTCTTGGCAAGTAAGTCGGCCGATGCGGGAATCATTGGCTTGTAGATTATGAATGAATCGCAATATATATGCCATGACATTTACAAGTTTCCTGAAACATGAATATTTTTCCAGTATATCAAAATCAGTGAGTTTAATCTTCTCTGTGGTTGCTAGAACGTTTAGAGGATTTGGCCTTATTTCAAGAGTGTCATCATCAATAACAGGTGTGAATTTTGGCTTAGGCCAAGAATCTGACGATGACTGTAACCATTCCGGTCCATTCCACCATAAATGATGAGTCACAAGTTGAGAGGGTGAAAGACCACGAGTGGCGCAATCTGCCGGGTTGTCTTGAGATTTGACATAATTCCATGAGTGAGGAGAGACCAATTCTTGGAGTTCTGAAATACGATTGGCAATGAAGACTTTCAAGCGGTATGGAAGAGTACGTATCCAGGTTAGGACAATTGTGGAGTCACACCAAGCATAGATTGATTCAATCTTCATATGAGCAGAGAGTATGTTTGAAGAATATTGAAGAAGTTTTCCCAGTAAGTGAGCGCCACAAAGTTCAAGCCGTGGCAGAGAAATTCTTTTCAAAGGAGCGACTTTTGATTTAGAGACGATGAGATAGAGCCTTGTATTCTCTTGAGAGTCAGTGACACGAAGGTAGACAACAGCAGCGTAGCCTTTCTCTGAAGCATCGCTGAAGCCGTGGAGTTGCACAGCCGTATGCAGAGAAGTAGAAATGTAGCGTGGAATTCTTAATTCTTGAATTATTGGGAGTTCTTCTAAGAATGAATGCCACTTGGTTCTAACATCATTTGGAACAGGTTCATCCCAAGTTAGCCCTGTTGTCCAGAGATACTGAATAAGTGTTTTTGCCCAGAAAATTACGGGTGTAAGAAATCCTGGTAAATCGTACAGTTTAGCGATTGTAAATAATATTCTTCTCTTTGTAAGTATAGCACTTATTTCAACATCCTTAACCTTGTAAGAAAGCATGTCAGACTCTGGAGTCCATTTTAGACCTAGGACACTGAAGAAGGCTTCACTATTTTCAGTTAACTCCACTGGAGTCTCTTTGTGTTCAATTGGGACTTGGTCCAATAGTTGGGGTGCGTTGCTAATCCATTTTCGGAGTTCAAAACCTCCTCTAGAGAGCAAGTTCTTGAGTTCATTCTGTGCAGACAAAGCTTCATCAAGACTTTCTGCTCCAGCGATGATGTCGTCATAAAATATTGATTTAGTTAGAATCTCAGACGCCTTGGGGTATGAGTGACCCTCATCTTTGACCAATTGTTGTAATGTTCTGATTGCAATGAACGGGGAACAGTTGAGACCGTAGGTGACGGTATTTAGCTTTAAGACTTGAAGGGATTCATCAGGGTTGGATCGCCAAAAGATTAACTGATATTTCTTGTCATCTTCAGCCACCAGAATCTGGCGGTACATCTGTCGTATATCACAAGTGAACACAAACTTGTGACACCTAAAGTACAGCAAGACATCACTAATATCATTCTGCAACTTAGGGCCAGGCATGAGGATATCGTTTAGGGAGACGCCATTATTTGTTTTGGAACTACCATCAAATACGACTCGTATTTTGGAATTAGGGGGATTCTCCTTAAATACTCCATGATGGGGTAAATAGTAACATTCACCAGAAAGGGGTTGCTCACATGCACTCATGTGACCTGATTTGATGTAGTCATCCATAAATTCGGAGTATAAATCTTTGAATTCGGGCTGAGCAGCAAATTTTCTTTCCATCGCTTTAAGTCTAAGTTGAGCTGTACTACAAGATTCACCTAATAGAGGATGATTTGGTCTTTTCGGTAACTTAACAACATATCGACCAGAGTTATCACGTGTATGGGTTCTTTCAAAATGCTGTAAGCAGAGAACATCTTCTTCTGACTGAGTCTTGACACATGTCGGGGGTTCTTCGATTGACCAAAACCTTTGAAGTGAACTGTGAAGGTCTCCATCATGTGTAGTGAGAAAAGAAACAGTTTTTGGGATTGATAACTCAGATGTAGCAACAGGAGCTATGCCCATTACAACAAATCCGAATATAGTTCCTAAAACTTGGGGCAGGTTATGGCCTAAGAAGTGCTGCTCACCAGTCAGTGAGAGAGCGAATAAATCAGCTCCGATCAATAGATCAATTTCTCCAGGTTTATCAAAACAGGGGTCTGCAAGAACAAAATCATTTAAAGATCCCTTCACTTGAGGTGAGACTGGGATCTGAGGCAGTGGTGAAGTGATACGATTCAAAACCAAGCATGGATGATGGTAGGCTAAGCGTTGACCATTAACTGCAGATATATCAATGTGCACTATTCCTCTAGAATGAATTAGTGAGCCAGAAATTCCTTGGATTTCATCATGTGCTCGAGTACGGGAGGCACTGATGAGCTGAACAGCTCTTTCAGATATCAATGTAAGTTGAGATGCAGAGTCGAGCACAGCACGGAGTACAGTTTGCTGACCATCTTTGGAAAACACCTGAACTAAACATGTTCCAAGTAAAATTGTTGTTTTAGTTGGGTTTAACTGGCTAGACAATCCTACAAGAGCACTTTTATTCACTGGTGCGGTGACATGGCTTTGGGGTGCGTTATTTGTAGACGGCTTACCATATTTTTTTTCAAAAACCTTGGTTGGGTAACTTGGCTGCTGTTGTGTGGGAGTTGAGTCATGTAAGAGAGTGTGATGTCGCTTTGAACAAATTCGACACACTCTATGAGAAGGACAGTTATTAGTATCATGTAGATGGCCTAGGCAGTTGGCGCATAGATTATTTTTACAAGTGAATTCAACTCTATCACCTCTACTTTTAGCCTGAAAGGCTTGACACTTGTATATATTGTGATCGGATGCTTGACAAAACTTACAAGTGTTAGTCACTGTGACGAAAGCTGTTTTAGCTTGAGAGGAGTAAGGTTTACTATCTCGAAGAGGTTTAGGCCTATAACTATTAGATTGAGTCTTTTGCACTGAAGGGTATCTTGTGTTAGCTGAGGGACCAAGACCGATACTAGCTACTTCTAATCGTTTAAATTCTCTTTCAAGGAATTGAATTAGATCATTTACTGCAGGTATGTCATTGTTTGTGATGCGAGAATCCTCAAAAGATTTTCTTAAATCAGTAGGTAACTTTTTCAAAAGCGTTAGGACAAGCAGAGTATTTTCAGCTGTTATGTCATGGTTGAGATTTTTCAAAACTTGAGTGTTCTCTTTATAAACTGTGAGAAAATGTTGGAGACTTTTGAGAGAACCACTACTTATGCATGGCAAATCAATGATTTTTGTAACAAGCTGAGTTACAACACGCCTTTTGTTATCATAGCGATCCTTAAGCAGCCTAAGTGCAACATCAAAGTTTTCTGCAGTTATGCTTAAGCTCTTTACTAAATCTAAGGGTTCACCACTTAAAGAACTAAGCAGATATTGGAACTTACTCACAGGGGCCAAAGTTTCATTAATATTAATAGAAGCCTCAAAAATATTGTAGTAGCTAACCCATTCTTCGTAGCTACCGCTGAATTTGGGCAACTCAAATTTGGGCAGTCGCAGAGATGGTTGGGTGGGAGGTGTTACTTCTTTAGTTTTAGCAGGTAACACTATTTTCAAGTCACTGATCAGAGAAATGTACAAGTCCGAAATTTCATCTTGCATAGAGCATGCTTCAGTTTCGTCATAATCAGAACCAGGATCATCATAGACCACTTTATCGAATAAAGCTTTAAAATCAGAGAATAAACCTCTAACTTCATCATCATAGTTGTGTAAGCGCTGAATGGAAACAACATTTAATGATTGAGTTTCTGAGAGAGTAATTTGGGCTGACACAAACTTGCTTATTTTCTGAAGCCTATTTTTGACAAGTTTTGCCTTTTTCTCTAGTGTAGAGAATCTCATTTTAACAGACCATTTATGTAATCAAAAGAGTAAGCTATAGGCCTAAGTTTATCATAAGTTTAGGCCTACGTAAATATTCACCAACACCTAAATATCAAAATAACTCCAAGTCTTAGACCTAACAATAATGCAAATTAATAGCTCAGAATAAATCAATTCATTTACATTCACTCTATAAGAAATAATGAATGTAAAATTATATTTCACTTTACCATCAGACCCAGGATAGACATAGTAAATAAAAGTAAAGTCTATTTAACACAAGTCATTTAATTTGAATCAGTATTTTCGCAGAATATTGAGTAGGGAAGTATTTATTATGAGCAATATCCTTAATGTAGACAAGAATCGATTCAACCACTAATATTTCGTTTAATATTCACACAAAACAATATTTTCCAAGATGTAAATAAACTTGAAGGTTACGTTTATATTTTGATTCAATTCACACAGCTGTATGTAGCTGGAGTGTGTTTTATATTCAGTCAGCTGATTTCCTGTGCTTGAAACTGAGTTTTACATATGATCAATTTGAAGAAGCAATATCATTGGGCGATTTATTCTGTTTTACGAATCTCGACGCTCATTGGTTCTTGCGACGAGCAGACTGTAGGCAGAGCGCTCTAGTGGAGAAGTTCGCTACCAAGGTGCATCGCAAGGACAGAAAATATAAAATGGCTGACTTTCTGATAAGTGAAAATATGTTAGAAAATTAAGGACGAAACAAAGTGCAGACAAAAATTATTGTTAATGACAATAATTGATATGGTGAATTGATTGAGAAACTTAGAGAAAATATTAAATATCCTAACTAATTCCTGATTTCAAATAACTAGTTGAAAGGAAATATGACGTGATTCATGTAGCAGTGGGAGGACATGAGCATGAAACTAACATGAAATATTCACGTCTGAGATGGCACAGGGGAATGGAATAAAATATTATTTATTCACCAAAACTAGTAATGGGGAATACAAGTGCTGCTCTAATTATTTAGAGAAGTGACACTTTTTAGAGTTTAGTTGTACAATTTTAACAGTTACAGTAGCTAGGCTAATAAAAGCACAATATATTATTAATGATAAGATTTTCATCCGACTCGACAGGACCAGCGGATGGGGGGTAAACTTGCCTAAAAATGTTCAAATGGACTGTATGTTGAAAGAGCAATATTAAAAACTTGTCACTAATTATTTAACAGATATAATGAGATTGATGAGGTACCTTCCTTTTAACTGAAGTGTTGAGAAGACGAAGCCGGTAGACGTACACGAGTTTCTTTTGCTGGCCAGCTATTGCGTATTGCTCGTACACAGACCCGGACCGGCAGTAGTAGTGTTTCACTTCACAAATGTTCAATAGTTCACTTTTAATATGTGTCACTAATAATAATTAAATACACTTTGGGGTTAAGAGATGAGAGCAGCAATTGGGAGTTAATTGTGCCGGGGACATGTTAGTAGTTGCATGAATGCAAGAGAACTGGGGCGAGATTGGGGTTTCCAGACATCACGTGACAGGACAAAGGTTATTGTATGATATGAAACGTCTGGAAATATCTAGGTAGCGCTTGAATACGGAACAGAACCATTTTTCAAATATAGTTGAGGATGAGCCTAGAGGGTCACAGAATTATCACTTAGTGATTGGCATGGTTTGAACCTAGTACCTCTAGGATCGAAGTATCACGCACTTGAACTAGACCAGTTTCTTTCTTCGCCACATAACCGCGAATGGTAAACTACAAACTAACTACAATTGATTTAGTGGAATTTAATTGTTTATTTGGCAAAATTAACAAGTTTGGAAGGTATAGGAACTTTGTTTTGAAATGTACAGTGACACCTTTTGTAATAAGTTGAGATCTTTAGGATTGGTTAGTTGAACTGTGCAATGTGTTTGCATTCTTGCAACAAATCTGCATGAAGAGGTTTTATTATAAAATGTGTAAGAATCATGAATAAGAACCATGTTAGAAGTGTGGCATTGCAAACATATTCTATACATGCTTAACGTTTCTACAAAAAATAAAATAGAGCGTAAAAGTATCGGGAAAATAAAAAAAATAAACTAAATAAAAATCCCTTTTTGTAAAAAAAAGAAACAAACGTAGAGCAAAATAAATTGACCTAAAAGTGAGTGGGTGACTATGAACACCTGTTTGGTGGTTTGGGCCATCCATCTTGGCCGAATATACGACGACATCCTGATTTCGAGTGGGAAAATTAATGGGATTCGCCTACCTGAAGACATCAGGACACACCTGTGAGAAGATAAGTCCTGCGACTTGGAGAATAAATCTCGAGTCTTCTTCTAACCGTTGCCTTGCTGTCAGGTCAAACCCAAACGATCTCTTCAAAACATTTGGGAGGTAGTTTGTACTTAACGTGTATAGTTCAGTTGCTAATCGTTAGCTAGCAGTACACTATCACCGAATGTTCGCACGAATGTTTCACCGAATTTCGATTTTCGACTACGAATGCTACCGAACGTGAACCCGGAACTCGCCCAGTACACGCTCGCCCATGTTTTTACGAACATGCTTGCTGGTGGTTACTCGTATTTGCTCGTCTCCTTTGACTCGTCCTAAAACAAACAAAATGGAACTAAGGCGAGCACGAATCATGGCAAGGCAAACTATCCCAAGCGTACACGAGCAGACCGGGTACAAAACCTAATATATATACAAAAATATGTATACACACTCGTGCTCACCTTCACTATTATACTTCGCTCGCCTATGTTCGGCGATAGTGTACTGCTAGCATTATACATTTTGTATAAGTATTACTACTTTATTACTTAGAAATACTTTTTAGGAATGGTGCACAGCATAGAAGACAAGTTAAGGCCAAATTACATCGGACGTGAAGGGCAGCAATTGCTGCTATGGGCCCCCAATTTTTTTTTCTTTATTTTTAAAACAGCAAAAGAACCTGCGAGGATACACACATCATTTGCATACATAAATAAAACAGCATGGGTTAAGAAAACTAATTCAAAGTCAGCAATTGAAGTGTGAATCTTCTAAGTAATATAGTACTTATATAATACCTAATACTTTCCTATAGCTTAATTTTGCACCCCTTCTTTCTCTCAACATTTATTTCTATTTATTTGTATAACACTTGCTACATAACTATCCCACAAAAGGTACGAGAACCGAAGTCAAATCCTCCTGAATAATAAAGTGGAATCCCCCTTTTCTTAACCATCACTTCACTTGCTTGCAGTTGCAATCAAAGAGACTAACGAAGACTTGTTCTCGACAGCATAATGCACACTGATCACTAAATCGATAAAGGAAACTCGTCCTTTAAGACTCAGCCCAAATTGTTTAAATTAAGGAGGACGTTTACTTTGACTTGGGGTAGAATCAAGGTAATGAAGGGAACATTAGGGCAAACAACCACTTAAGTGCTACTTTAGGGCGCAACCGTGGCGGGCGTGAGTTATCTGTTAAAGGGTGGCGCCAATTGGCAAACAAACCTGAAGAATACAATTAACGGAGGGAACGCGAAGTAAATACATCCTGCCTGGCCTAATGCATGCCTTGTTTAGAGACTTGTTTTTGAATTGAGGTAGCTTTCTTTCAGCCGTTAAATTTGTTTGTAAAAAAATATGATGGTGCTTTCAAGAACGTGGGATCACGACAGTAAAATACCTAAAGACCCGTGTACGGGGTTTAAACTTCTAATATAGAAACTAAAGAAAATACTGATCAGAAGTCATGCTTTTATCATGTGATGTTATTGGGAGGAAGGGAACGCCAGGAAGGGCTGCCAAAGTTTAATCATCGAGCATGCGATTTAAAGGTAGAACCACCACGCCAAAGATACATGACAGAATATGTGCTATCCCCATCACAACCTTCAATAAAGTCTTATTCTCTAGATCTCGATCTTGACTTACTAAAAACTGGAGCCTTGTATTCTCCTGCGGAAGCTGTGGTTCTTAGACCCCAATCTAATTTTTTTAGTTAGAAGGCAGGTAAAGAGTGACTCACAAATATTATCCTGTCTTCAACTCTTCATCTCAATTCAGCATCTTGCAAAATAAACAAGAGCTATCTAGCAGAAGTTTCAGTTTCTTCAATAATAATTCGAAGTTTCAGTTTCCGTTCTCTGATTACACACAGCCAGAAAAGAATATGCGTAATCTGAGCCCAACGGTTTAAAGAACTACATCGTTGTTGTACATGAGTTGTTTATATCGTTGTCTGAACCTATCCAGCAGATATCCCAATATGTGGGCTCCAACCGACTTGTATATGCATATAATTGTCGATTTCAACTCTAAAGACAGCCTCCGAGTTTTTTTAGATACATTTGTCCCTCCGTCCAAATAAATTTATCCCTGATTAAAGTATTCTGAATCTTCGGAAGTCTGAGTACAGCAAGGGAGATCCTTAGCATCTGGAGGAGAAGCTAATGTCTCAAAGGCTCAACTATAAAGACAGCCTCCTAGATGTTTTTAGATATACTTGTCTCTGTCAAAGTACTTTATCCCTGATTAATGAGTTCTGAACCTTTACATATTTAGTCCGAGTACAGCAAGAGGATCCTTAGCATCTGGAGGAGAAGCTAATGCCTCAAAGGCTCCAACGCAGGATCAACAACACTCGATCCCCCAAACGCCAAGTCCAGCAGGACCAGTTTCTCCAGACTCTGTCTAGTTCTACTTTGACTCTGGGTCAATAACACTCGATCTCAACTCGGCAGCAGACAGAATCGTGGCTGCGAACATCTGGGGGCTTATTGTTGAGATTGGAGGAGGAGATGGGAGAACAGATTAGTCTCTCCCCCCCCTCTTGACTACTACGTCGCCGTAGTAAGTTTGATGGTTCAGTGACCTGGAGGACATCGTGTTGGCAGTCCTGTAGCCATAAACTTTGCCGTCTGGATGCGCTCGTGCCCTCGCCCCACGATTTCTGTCATTACTGTAATTGTCCTCTCACGTACCTCTGCTTGTTTATTCGAGCTCACTGGATAAGGGGATGTGTTAAGTGAATTTCCCTCGTAAAGGATAATTTGTTCGGAATTATGAGTAATGTCAATAATCAAATCCTGTTTGAGGTTTGTTAAGTGTTTCTTGGTAGTGTCTTCTTGGGTGCAATTTTAATAATCATAGTTTTTGGTAGTTTGAGTACTTATAGATCTAATTAGCACAGATTCTTCTAGGTCAAAAACAGTAACTAGACAATGTAACTGTCCATCATGAAATGGTTCCTGCTAAGAAACAGCTGGATAGTCTGTAAAGAACTATTGCATCGCTATTTTTAAGGATTTGATTGAATTTAACTGAATAAAGAAAAGATAAGAGTGTCAAAGCAACTGAGTGGTAACCTATAGAGATTTTTTGGCAACGATTAGTTCTAACTACTTTACTATTTTATTATTTTCACCTATTGAACATTTCTAATTAAACCAACAACACCATGAAAACTTTAGACCTTCAAAACATGGATAAAATATTTCATAGCTTTGATTCGAACAATATGGACCTATTCTGAAATAATCAAAGAGTCAGCGCTCCGACTCTTCGCGTTTCATGTCAAATTCAGAGGCCCTCTCATTTGCAGCTGTTATGCTCTTGTTTCGGATTATTTGTTGAGCACTCCTATGTTGTTTAACTTTCCTTCTTTGTTTTCATTGATGTTATCTACCTTCAGGTTTTCAAAAGGCATTTTAATTGACAGAGCTTGTAGGGCTCTTGATTGTTCATTGTAGCTTACCATTGTCTTGTTTGAACATTTTGAGTAGACTTCAAAAACTCTCATTCGGAAAGCACTCCTACACATTCAATCAGTTTTAACCAATTAGGCCTACTTCAATTAATTAATTAGTCTGTTTTTGTTTTGCCAACTGCGAGGTCCATGTAAACATCAAGAAAATTACTTTGTTCTACCTGATATTTACTAACGTTATTTACCGATGACTAGATTTTAAAATTTCATTAAATAAGTAGCATATTCTATTCAGAACAAATACGACAAACTCGTGACATATATAGTAGTATAAGAAATACAAACTACACCCAAAATACACATACATTGAAAACTCCGTATTGAAAGTATTGCATGTTATATGGATTAATAGGTCAAAATTGTAATTCTTAGAATACGAAAAACATTAAAATAACACAACAGAATTGTTTAGCAAAAAAGATCATAAAAACAAAAACCTACAATGGAAATCACAAAAACAAACATCTATGTGCAACCGATTTCTAACATTTTCTCCAATTTAAAATAATAGCATAAAATCGCGATCTCAAAGCACTAGAAATAACACAACCTCACAAAAACCCTCTCAACAAGAAATAATTTGTAATACTAGAAACGGAAAACCAACAAACTAAAAAGCTATGTGAAAAAGTACTCTTTAAATTTAAACAAAAACGATCATTATAGAACGATAAAAATGAAAAATACAGTCAAAATAATCACACAAAAGGAGAAAAACGTAAAACGCGATAACCTAAAACACATTTTTTACAAACTATCAAGAAAACATGAACAACAGGAATCCACCAACTACAGACCTAAACAAAAATATATGTTAAAAGACCTAATGTTAAAATAAACGTCAAAACCACAATCTCTAAAGCATTACAAAACCTGACAAAATATAATGTAAATATTATAATGCGAGATTTCAAAATAAAACTATACAATTAACCAAAAAAAAGGCAACCTCATAAAAGAAGTACTAAAAACAACAAAAACTTCAAAGAAAGAACAAAAAGAACCAACCAAACTAAAAATTGAAGGTCACAGAAAACCTGACATGAACTTGAATTGAATGGAACCCGGTAGCGAACCAGTCATAGCCCTTGACCTATACAGTTACATTGTTGTGTGAATTGTGTGATGTACCTGTAAACATGACAATGAACTACAAGCCCAGACTTGTACAGATAACGGTAATGCTTACAAAGGTCACGAGATAGTAGCAATACTACACAGCTTCGATACTACATTGTACTTCCCCAGCTGGTACATGGGTTAGCACTCTTAGGGTGTATTTGGAGGTCTAGAGATAACTGCACGGATTTACATTGTTTGATTAATTAAATCACTGGAGGCATTTCCCGTTTTAGCTAATTTCCTATTAAGTAAATAAGCTATTTATAATTTCAAGGTTGTATGTGTCCGGTGGTGGTGGGTGTTTTGTTGTTTACAATGTGTTTCTAGTTATTTAACCACCTTCAAAACAGTTGAAACTAAGTGTTCTATAATCTACTTGCAAATTATCGCTGGTTTTCTTTTACTTGAGGATGAGATGAAAATTTATATGTAATGGAACTTGGTTTTGTTCCCTAGTATAAGCACAGAAAACGTACAACTATAACCCAGAATGCCAACCGCATGGTAAAAAGCATTAAGCGTTTTGAGAGAGCTTTGCCTGTCAATCCGTAGGCAGCGCCACCAGCGTTGCCGTACAATAGCATAGCAACGCTGGTGGCGCTGCCTACGGATTGACAGGCAAAGCTCTCTCAAAACGCTTAATGCTTTTTACCATGCGGTTGGCATTCTGGGTTATAGTAGTACGTTTTCTGTGGTATAAGTGAGTAAGGTATTAGACGAAACTTTATTTGTGTTGGATCTTGGTTTGGTAGGCATTGTAGTGGAACTTTGTTCAGTCCTCTGGCAAAAAAAGAGTTAGGTGGAAAAAGAGTAAAGTATTAATAAATTGTACAATATAAAAATAGAGAAACATAAGGAAGCTAGTACACTCCAAAGGTAATAAACCTGAAACATGCATCAAAACAGGTATAAGTTCTATTTTTGTATGCCCCACTATTTTTTCTAATCTTTTCGTGCATTTGATTTTATACTTAAAAATTTGGGATTTTCTTAAATAAAAAAAAAACTCCTACTACTTTTTGGCTAGTTTACCATTGTACTGGTAAACATTGGGTGTTCAATACATCATTTTCAAGGCTTCCAAACACCATTTTACCTAGACACAACTTATTGACTTTGTCCTTTAATGGTGCTTCCAAGGTAAGGTACAGCCATAAACTTCCATATTTGGAATAACCATGAGAAGAACTGGTCTCGAGTCCAACATTAACTTTAAGGTTTACAAGGGTTATGAATTATTCAATCCAAGTAGTGTGCATGTGATGCAATAAATGTAATAAATTACATAAACTTGGACACGATAGAATAACTGAGTAAAATAGCTATTGAAAGCTAAGATTGGCTGTAGGCCTACTGAAGTTTGCATTGATCCTATCTTTATGAGCTAATGCAACCAAATCTTTTACTCAAATAAGACAGCTGGAAACTGACCTCTCATAGAGTGCGTTTATATAGTTTTTAATTGGAGCAGATATTTCAATTTAGGGCATCTATAGTCAATAATATTCAACTTCAAACTCCACTCTTTTCTTTTCCTTACACTCCAGCTGGCCAGCAAGTCGTTTATAAAAGAAACGGTCCAAACCCTGGTCCACAAATAAAGTGATGTAGATCGCGTAGGACCAGTAGCAGCCCATGAATATGTAACAATCATAGAGAGAGAAGGAGAGAGCGATTCGACGTAGGAGCGAGAGAGACAGAGCACTGGGCATATCTAATGGATATCTTAAACAACCTGATCAGACCGTATTAACATACGCTGAACCGCTTAAAATCCCGGTGTAGTGGTTATGGAAATAATCCGAAATTTACTGCGTGTAAATGTAATGTAATAGAGAGTTATTTTGTGGCGTGTTCTGCTTTCGTAGTTGTTTTGAATATGAATAACTAGATATGTGGTACTACGGATCTAGTGATAATCTTGATCCAGTTGATGGTGACGTCCGTTTCTATGACATCTGAAGATGGTAGCTGAAGCTACTTACTCTGAGGTTTACAGCATCGGTTTTAAAATAAAGTTCACAACAATCCAAAGAACGCTAGTTTCATCAAAAGTTTGCATCTTGTTTTAGTTCTAACGAAAAAATTGTGTGTTTTACAAGAGCCTGTAATCAACTTTTTCCAAGCCACAACCACACAACAAAATGTTTAAGACCTAAATTAACATCACCTTTTGTCATCAATTAGACATTTTGTTGCAAAAAACTACTGTATAAAGACAGTTTTATGAGTCTGAAACTGAAATAGTTTCGCTACTAAATACGCAAATAAACGGATGATGAATCAATTTCAAATATACACACATAGCCTATGTTGATACATCAAATTAGGTCAGCAAAAAAAATCCCCAGTGAGATCCACTGATATACTCACACATCATCATCGTTTGGATGACATCGTTTGGGAGATTATGGATCATAAACAAAAACGAATGACGTCCCTCTCCTGAATGTAAACCTATTTGATTTACTATTTGAAAAGAACTATCAAAAAAATATAAACTGGAGGATATAGTTATTAGTATAAGATTTCGGGCCAGTAACGTAATGTGTTTATGTTTATCAATACTGTTTAATACCAATTTTTGATGAATCCGATTCTGATCTATTATCCCCGTGATAATAGGTGTAGGTCACTAGGTATATAAGTTTTTAGGCGTACCTACCACCACGTGAGCACGCAACATACAGCTGTCCGTGTGAAAAGCATGCATTCTCTAAATTGAAACCGACGATAAATAGTCAGGGATTGCCCTAGTGCCTTATAATGGTGATCGTGAAAGCAAGACACAAAGGAAATTCTAGTTGCTTAAATTCAGAGGGTTGAAATCGGATGAAATCATCAGTTCTCCTTTAAACTTATCACTGATAATTTTTGCTTCAATCAATTTTGGTGTCATTATGTTAATCGTCAGTCTGGTAACGTTGCTCAGCTTCGGTGGATTTAAGCTTCGAATTATTATTTTTGGAGTTCCTTCTTTTAATGACAGTAATGTGGTGGGTTAATGACAAATTGAGAGGCATTTCAATACCTGATATTGCACGCACGATTATTATTAACTTTTTTACTTTTTATGTTTGCATATTTAATAGTGGAGAATGTAAACGTTGTTGAGTGCACAGGTGTGCTGCGATTGGGGTTTAATATATTTTGACTTATTCAAAAGTAAAATAGTTTTCTGTGCTGCACTCGGTTGAAACATTGTGGCTCTATTTCAAATCATGACTAACAGCATGTTGTGATTATTCAAACCTACGAAACAGTTGCCTGGTAACAGCTAGTTATATTTATTCGTAAATGTTGTAGTTCAAAAAGTCTGACGTTGGCCTACTTAAAACCTTCTGTGGCGGAGCCCTATTGATGGATCTGCACCAAACTTCACACAAGTCATCCTTGAGTAATGCCCAATAATGCCTGAAAGTTCCATTACAATCCGTCAAGTGGTTTTGAAGTTCATAAGGTACATACATACATAGTTCCTCTTTTATAGGTATAGATATAGATATCGTCAAATTGATAAAAATGGGAAATTTACTGTCATTAACTCCACTTTTTTCCTTACCAGATTAAGAAGATTGACCGCATGAGTCATTTCCGACATTGTGCCAAGCAAATTGGTATGTTTCTGTATCCTCCTTAGATATTGAACATTTTGTTCTTGTGAGTCACTACGAACAACACTTTATCTTAAGTTTACTTAGTATATTAGAATAAGAAAAATTGAAGTTTTAGTTTTGAGTTTGACTGTACGTAGAATAATCGTTAAAAAAATTATGGTAATGGTACAGTAAAATGTAAATTGAACATTTTACCCTGGTAATAATGTTTGGCTGCTGTAACACCATTACTGTTCACTCTGACAGACATGGTCCAACACTGATGTTATCTCGGGCCCACGACGGCTCCCGGGGTGATTCTGGACTTTTATATCTACAAAAACAAAAACAAAAACCGTCCCCAACAGCCGGACCCTACCAGAGAATAGATGTTACTGTCAGTGTAGTATAGCCTCTTATAGCATTTGTAAAATTGTTAGACATCCTGTTATCAACATTTGGATTTTAATGGAGGGAAAACTCCGATACAGAGGAAATTCTCCTTACATGAACAAATTTAAATGAAATTTTTGGAACACTGAAAATTTGTATGATTTTTTAAATGGGTATTTATTGGTTCAGGATTGATTTAAGTCTACTAACAGTACTTTTAAGTTTTCCTAAATTTTGTATTGTCAGAGTAAACTATTATAGATTTGTGAAGCATTCTTGAAATATTTTTTTTTCATATTTCATTATTACGGTGTATTGTATTACAATAATTATTTAAGTGCTGTCTTGGATAACGCTCTATTATACTATACTGTATTTGCCATCCTTACGGATCGGTGACTGAATTAATTTTGAGGCTTGTTTCCCCGGTAATAGTAGAATGTATTCATTTCCCATGACTTTATAAAATTTAAAACCATACCAAGGGATACGTAAAAACGAAAAAGTCTGTCCTTGGTCTAGGTCTTAACATTAGATATACGGCAATAGCTTATTCCCTGTATAAAAAAACTCACTAAAAACTGTGCAAAATAGTAATGATTAATTAATTGTTAACCTATATCTAAACAGAGCGTTTCAATATCAGAGTATTTGAACAGCAATTGTATTACTTCACCTAGTTGCACTGGCTCAATTGAAACAACTTATTAGTTTGGAAAAGGATATTCTAAATTCAGAGGTTTCCGATTACAAGTAACTAGGCAACACAGGACTACATAAAGTTAAACTCAACACCGCACTTATTACACACCACCGTACACATGGGGCGGACTGAGGTAAGATATTTACGTGTTTACGTCATTAAAGTTGGTTTATTACGAGCGAGATATTGTTTTCGAACCACCCTTATGAGGTGTACCCGTGGGAGTAGATCCGGATGATATTTTATTGACAGAGCAGATGCTTAAGTTTGAGAAAGGAAATAAAAAATCACCCCTTTTACAACCTAAATATTTTAAAATTATCTGCAGTGATTGCTTTAGTAGTGTGGCCTTACTACACTGCAAAAAACTCAATATCATAGTTTTACGGGTTTACCTATTAGTTTCAACTGTTAAAACTGTAGACAGTTTTAAAATGAAAAAGAACGTACATAAAACTTTATCACTAACAAAGGGCACTGTTAAATGTAGTCCCTGTCTTTTTCACCAGCTAGTTTAACCGTACTGTAAGGGCCAACTTATTCTAACCTAGAGCATTTTTTATATAAACACCAACTACCATAGAATAAAAATAGCCCAACAGTGGCACTCTCAATGAAGTCTACCACAGATACCATGTCTACTTATCCAAAGACAATGGATTGACCATTTACTTTTCACGCTGCCCGAAACTAAAATGACGCTCGTTTCGTAACGTCGATTCCTATCAGTCCGTCAGTAGGTCAGGAACCTTTTAGTCAGTAGATACGTCTGTCTGTCCAAACCGAACCACTCAGTCATATATCAGTATGAATTAGCTTTTAACGACTCGCCTGTAACTACGCGATAACACAGGCATAAACGGGCGAAATGGCGCGAAACTTAAGGGTGTTTGGTCGCAAATTTTCATGTCTGATTTTTTGTTATTGTTTAATTGTACTAAAAATTAGAGATACAAATATATAAGAAAAAATTTTTTATTTTGAATATTAAGCGAGATATGGAGCTTGAAAGTAGTAAATTTTTAATCTTTGGTACCAGTTCACAGGGAGAATGGGTAATGCGATTCTCACCAAAATTTACATTCAGGTGTGGAAAAATAAGATAATAATCACTAGCTATTTAAAATTAAAAATTTTAAAAAAATGTTATTTTTTATTTTTTATAAATTTTTTAAAAATTTTAAAAAAAATTTAAAAAAATTTAAAAATAGCTGTTTGTTTTTGGGAAAAATGTATCTGTATGTTGAAATAAAAAAAAAAGTGATATGTTAACTCGTTTGGGCTGTGAATTCGTACCTTTGATGCCTTGCGCTGTCGGAGCACTACTCGATGAGAGTTTGTACACTAACACCGGTGCTTTAGAATACTTTAACATCACGTAATTATTAACATCCTTTAACATTGAAAGAATACGTTTATCGTTGTATTCTAAAGCCCCGGTGTTAGTGTACACACTCTCAACGAGTAGTGCTCCGACAGCGCAAGGCATCAAAGGTACGAATTCACAGCCCAAACGAGTTAACATATCACATTTTTTTTTATTCCAACATACAGATACATTTTTCCCAAAAACAAACAGCTATTTTTAAATTTTTTTAATTTTTTTTTAATTTTTTTTTAAAAATTTATAAAAAATCAAAAAATAATTTTTTTTTAATTTTTTTTATTTTTAATAGCTAGTGATTTTTATCTTATTTTCCACACCTGAATGCAAATTTTGGTGAGAATCGCATTACCCATTCTCCCTGTGAACTGGTACCAAAGTTTAAAAATTTACTACTTTCAAGCTCCATATCTCGCTTAATATTAAAAATAAAAATTATTTTCTTATCTATTTGTATCTCTAATTTTTAGTACAATTGAACAATAACAAAAAATAAGACATCAAATTTTTGACCAAACACCCTTAACGGTTATGGCGGGAATACACGCCTGTGATTATCACTTGAGTAACTGTTTGGTGATGAGCAGACTGCTGAGCGATTGTTCTGAAGTGTGTTTATGTCGAATTGGCTGTTTG